CATGAATTGTTAACAATCTTTCATGGCACGAGTAAAGACTCTTCCAAATGAAATGGTATTTCTCATTTAATACGTGCTTCCTTTCAATGGTTACATGAAATGTAATCAATGATGTTTCTCAAGAAAATGTACTTCATGGAATAAAAATTTTATAACCGAAGGATTGCAATAAAATTATCCTTTACATTTTCTACATGATAAGTATAGTAGAAAGAATGAACGCGTCATGTAAGGATAGTCATTAAAAATGTACCCAATGTTCACATCCTCATAGTGAAACAACCACCAATCCTCGATATATGATTTGGTAAACACGAGTTTGTACATTCACATTAGAAACATTCTTTATCGTTTTTTATTTTTTATCTAATTAATCTATTAATTTTTCAAGGTTTTGCGTCATTCACATTAATGATTAGAAAGTTGCAAATATACTTAGTTCCAAGTCAATAAAGAAAAAAGTAAAAGTCCCACCAAATTCTTTGGCAAAAAAGAAAACAAAATACTTAATATGAAAATGCATCTTTTAATGGAATGATAAGTGGAAGCGTGTTGACTAGAAAAAAATGTAATGTTTTTGAAGTTTACATTTTTCACAGTTTGTTTCAAAGTCAGTATTTCAAAAAATCGTTTTTTTGGCCGGTCGATAATGAAATCGTATATCCTGTATTCATACAACAAGGAGTTGAATGAGTTTTAAACGACGTATCTTACTTTGAATGATTCGGCGGAACATTCCTGCATAGTGTGATCATTAAAAAAAAAACATCATGTGATTTAATCAGTGATTTTAATTCCTATGACTAAAAGTCAATATTGATTATTATTATATAAAATACAACCATTATACAAAGTCAATACGTAAATAAATAAATAAATTTATGGTTTTCTGCAGCATAAATAATATATTTACATTTGCCTGCCATTCCTTGTCTAAACTATTATAACATATATCCTTGCTATTAAAAGACACTTTTTTCTCCAGAAATATCTATTAAGGCTATGGAACATGAAAAGAAGTCCAAAAAAGACCTTGGAACATTTACAAAAGCTTTGTTAATTACAGTTATAATACTTGAGATAAGAAAATATTTATGGAATAAAGCAGATGAAATAAAGCGTCCTATATAGCAATGAAAGGAGACATTGTTAAAAATTAAAGATGACGCACTACATTTTGCATTGCCATGGTGACTACATTTGCTTAGGTTAACATAATTTTCCTAGCATTCACAAAATTCATTGCAGTTTATTATTGAGGGATATTGAAATGGCCGGGGGGAAACCATCGACTTTCGGCGAGTAACGTTCAAATACCTATTGATAGATCAAGTATATCGCTACGTGCAACTTACAAACACATACTGGTAGAAAGACTGTACAGTGTCGTGCTCCTGCCAAACTCATACTGATATAATCGGGAAAAAATTGCTGTGTGTAACTGACGAACACATACATGTAGATCAAGTTCACCGCGGCAAGTATCTGATAAACACATGCAAGTATATTGAGTTCACCTCGAAGTGTATCGGATAAACACATACATATAGATGGAGTTCACCGCGGCGTGTATTTGATAAACACATACAGGTAAATCAAGTTAACCTTGCAGTGTATCTGAAAAAACACATACAGGTTGACCGAGTTCACCGCGGTGTGCAACAGTTACTGATAAACGCATTTTTCAAACACCCAAAATAGGGATAATATGGTAAACTGATATGCAAGGAGATATTGAGCTACTGTAGCCTTGTGCCCCCTAAAATTCAAAGTACAACATAATATCAATTGCGAAATGGACAAGATATTATTTTACCATTTTGAAGGCTGAAATTGACTTCCCAATCATTATCCCCTCAACAATTAAACTTTGGAATAATCTGAACATGTCAGTTCGAAATGTAGACTCATTTTAAAAATTCAAAATAGAATTAAAAAAACCACGACATTCGAAATGAGAATCAATCTCAACATTATTTATATGGTCCTAGAAAATTGAATATAATCTTAACCCAATTTAGATGTTCGGCATCTTTCTTGAACTGTGACTTGTTTAGAGCCAACACTATATCTGACCTAACATGTAAATGTGGATTGGATATTGAGGACATGCGCCATTTTTTCTTTGATTGTCCTTTCTATTTAAATGAAAGGGTTATTCTGTTTAATAGTCTCAGCTGGCTTCCCGAAGGCTGCAATTTGGACTTAAAACTATTGGTTTTTGGAAAAGAAACTCTTTCCTATGATCAAAATGTGCAAATTGTTAAACAAGTCTTTAATTTTATATAGAGATCAATACGATTCCTCGTAGTATAATATCAACATAGGTAAAACGCACATCATCATCATTATCATCATCATCCTAATCTCTGTCGTTCTTTCTTCATCCCCTTTCCTTTTTTTCAGTATAGTTTAGTAATATTTATGTTGTTTATATTATATAATGCATGCTCACATTCAATTTGTATTGTTATATATATTGTATTGTGGAGAAGACTTTATAAGTATGTTTTACTAGTGTCTGCCTCTGATCCTTTTTGCTTTGAGCAAATAAAATATGTTTAAACTAAAACCGTTATTTTGTCGAAATACAACATGACAAAACATATAGTTCAGCACATAGTTTGCAATGATACTAACCAAAATCACTTTCGGCCAATAATTGAAAAATAAGTATGAGCCTAAAGGAGCAGCAAATGTCAGAAGGTAAAAAATAATATTTATCATAACACAATATCCCCCTCTAAGAAACTTTTCATCACATTTTACTACTGTTGTCTTAATTTAATCACACGAAGGAATGATTTGCTAAAGAAATTACCAACAGTCAAGGCCCAACATACTCAATGTAATACATAAAATCCATAAATGCATCAAACATGAAATTATCTATGAATATATTTAGTTTTTTAATACAGCATTCAGTGGTGAATCAAGCTACAGTAACTTATGAAAGGAGATTTATGAAAATAACTATCATTAAACAGAAGCATCTTAAATTCACAACTTTGTATGAAATATGCAAATTTATAATGCGAAAATAATTTGTATATAAGTATGTTTGCTACGCAAATGTTACCCTTCGTACGACAGAGCATTCTGTTAGGACTTCGTTTTAGTCAATATTAAATTTACATTTCTAGGCTGTAATTCAGGAATTAGGTCTACAGCTTTTTTTACCATTTTACTTTATTTAACTAGAACATATTTTCATTTATGTTGTGTTTGTAAATAACTATATTACTATTCGTCGTATACGGTATTAGTTTTGCTCATTATTGAAGGTCGTACGGAGACCAGTAGTTGTAACATCTTTGGCGGAAAGTTGTTTCATTGACAATCATACTATATTTCCTTATTTTCATATAGATGAAAATTCCTTTATTGTGTTTTAATCGTGGAAAATATTATAATTATTTTTGTCGTAACATGATGAAAGTGCAGTCCCGCAGTTACAACAAAAGAAAGAAGGGATACACCTAATTTATTTCAGTGAAATCAATTTTTCAGACACATTCATCTATTCTTTTGTCTAGTACTATTTTTGATACATTATATATATAAATCATTTACATTTTGATATGATTGAATAGTTTCTTATAATCTTATCTGTTCACAAAGTAAATCAAGTTTGTTGGACGCTATAATGGTTGGGACAATTAATTTATTAGTTACTTTTACCGAAGAGGTAATGAGCTATGAGATTGTATGCTTAAATCATCTTATAGACGAGTGTTATCAGAAAAGAAACACAAATGAGACCCTACGTATGATAAAATGTACTATTGGGACAATATTTACATAGATAAAGGGTAGACTCATGAAATTTCTTATATTTTTTTCATTTATAGTTTGACATTAATAAATGGATTTCTGAAAGAAGATTAATAAGTAATACTAAATTGAACTAAATTTATTAGCATTATCATGTTTGATGGAAATTGAATTGATCTTTTGATCTGAATCAATCTGTCGCACATATTTTCTTTTTTTCATGCCAAGCCGACTGAAATATTAATTTGTGAAAAATTGTTTTATTAAACGTCTCATTTATTTACATATTGTAATAATGATATAAACCCACTCTCTGCATACTGTCTTATAAACCTTTATTGTTTTTGTCATATTTGGTCTGACTTCATTTATTGTTTTCCACTAACCTCTGATTAAGTATGAAGGTTGTGATTCACACATTAGTTCTTAAACCTAAGCTAGCTGAAAGGCTCTCAGCAGCTGTTTATATATACTTTTGTATAATTATCATCGTTATTATTGTTATTATTATTATTTTGCAATGAAAGTAGATTATCAGTTTTGTTTATATTATAATCTTCCGAACTTCAGAATATTTTAAGCATTCCACATGATATGATTCTTAACTCATTTCACATAATGTTTATTTGTTTATATTTATGAATAAACGAAGATAGAGGGTACACAAAATCCAGAATGAGGTCGAACACATGGTCCTTAACAATGCAACTCTAAATCGCCCCGAGTCTAGAAAAATTGTGAATAAATTAAACTATTAGAGACTGTCAAAGATATGTCATCTAGACCAAATTATCTAAATATGATTAGAAATGACCCACCTACGTCTACCTCTTATATTTATATGTCTATAAACATTCCATTATATTGCCTTACTAATAATAGCAATACTTTATGTTATTTCGCCATCACAATAAAAACGTTTTGCATATCTTTTCTGATAATTTCCGTATCTGTTTAAAAGCGTATTTCAAATTCCAATAATTTGCATTCAAACAATTTGTTGAATATCTAAATTACAGCAAGCTTTCTTTATATATTTGGTTTGAATTATTTTTTTTTATCAAGTTTGATTTGTTTTAAAATGTGCTTATTATTTTCAAGCTGTTATAAATAATTGAATTTTGTACAAACTAGAAATAAACTCAATAGCGTGAAAAAGAAAAAGAAAATATAAAATGAAATGAGATAAAAAAAAAAACAACAATAAAATGTTAAAAAAAACTTACCCGATGATAAATATAACAGGAAGATAAGAAAGTTGGTTCCCATTACAAAACCAATATAATCACTTCTTTATTTGTCAACCTTGTGAGATAGTGATTGACTAACTAAGCTTCCTCAATCTAAATATGCCATATTATTGGACAAAGGTGATAATAACCACAGAACTACAGGAATCAATTCCACTATCTGAAACGATTTCATAAATTAATCCTTTAACGTAGTATTAGTATACGTCATTATTCCGAAGATCCTCATGCCATAAGTTCTATGGTTCACTTGAAATATAGCTGTCCGACGCTTAATCATATTCACTTAGTTATGTGTATGAATCTGTTGAGCACGTGCATGCAACTGAAGTTACACCTTTTATTACAAAATACCTTGTTATAAGCTATTATACCGTCTTAAATTTTTATCTGCGTTTGATATTAACCTCATGATAAAACCGCGTTTGATCGCATGCAGCATATAATGAATTTGATAAAGATTTACTGAAATAATCACGATCAACTTTTTCTCATTACCATTCAATATGATTAAGAAACGCTTAAATAGCACTAATATATCGACAAAATTATAATAATATGGGTATATGTAGCTGTGGTTATAGAGAGGCAGTTACATATATGCCAACTAATTATAAAAATTACATAGATATTGCAATAGCCAAAAAAATTGTTCAATATTTTGCTGAAGTGTAAAAAGTAAAATAACAAAAATACCGAACTCCAAGGGAAATTCAAAACGGAAAGTCCTTTCTAAAATGGCCAAATCAAAAGCTCAAACACATCAAACGAATGGAAAACAACTGTCATATTCCTGACTTGGTACAGGCATTTCCTTATGTAGAAATGCATTAAGTAAAAAAATTATAGGAAAATAACAAAAGACCTCCTGGCTAAAAGGTATATTATTTTGAAACCACTGTATTGTATATAAATGTTTTGTAAATAGATGCATATTCATGTACATATTTTGCACTCTCTCTGTACCTATGTATCTGCAATGGTTATGAGAATAAAGATATAAAGATAAAGACTAAATAAAATCCACATACATCATCGTACGCTCTTGTTAACAATTAACAAAAACAACAAACGAGTTCGTACTTTATTTGTCATTTTTTATGTTTTTTATTCGAGCGTCACTGATGAGTCTTTGGGTAGACAAAACGCGCGACTGGCGTAGAAAATTTCAATCCTGGTATCTATGATGAATTTATTTACAACCACTGGGTCGATGCCACTGCTGGTGGAATTTTTCCCCCAGAGGGTATCACCAGCACAGTATTCGGCACTTCTGTGTTAACATGAATTATCATTGATATGGTCATAATTATAAATTACATGTAATTGTTTACAAAACTTTAGAATTTTCGAAATATTAAGGCTTTTTTACCTCAGAAATAAATTACCTTTAATAGTTGTATTTGGCAAAACTTTTAGGAATTTTGGGTCCTCGATGCTCTTCAACTTCGTACTTCATTTGTCCTTTTTAACTTTTTTAATTCGAGCGTCACTGATGCTGTCTTTTGTAGACGAAACGAGCGCTTGGCGTAGAAAATTTCAATCCTGGTATCTATGATGAGTTGAATTATACACATACTAATAAACGCAGGTATTAGAACGAAAATTGTTTTTAATCTCTGTTTATTAGATATTTTTAAAAATTTTAATTCCTATACATTTAGTGATTTTTGAACGGTTAACATGACCAGCAACATAATAATAGGGTAAATAGACATATATATGTCGACGGACATTTCAAAAAGCAAAAGAGAAAATGGAAAAGGAAAAGGAAAAGGCAAACAAAACCACTAAACAGAAAACTTTACATGTTCGTATTGAACCCTACAAATAACCTGATGGTAACCCAAAGTGCTCCGGAAGGGCAAGCAGCTCGTACACTAGTGGCAACCGTTGTGTGTCTTCTTGCAACTACAATGAACGAAGAATTGATGACGGAATGGTGTCTATGACAAATAGTACAAAATGTGGTCATCTGTGACACAGTAATCCCCTGTTTATCGTTATTAAAATTTCATAATTTATTTGAAATATAGTTACAGTAATAACTGCTAACAAGGAAAATATTGACCAAGGGGTTTTAAATGGAAAATTGAAGTCATTTGTTTTTTAAATTAAAAAAAAAAACTCATTAAATATACCGAAGGTAATAACGGTGTACTTCAGACGCGCGTTTCGTCTACATGAGACTCATGAGTGACGCTCAAATGTCTCCATGAGACTCATTAGTGACGCTCAAATGTCTCCATGAGACTCATTAGTGACGCTCAAATGTCTCCATGAGACTCATTAGTGACGCTCAAATGTCTCCATGAGACTCATTATTGACGCTCAAACGTCCGTCTACATGAGACTCATTAGTGACGCTCAAACGTCTACATGAGACTCGTTAGTGACGCTCAAATGTCTACATGAGACTCATTAGTGACGCTCAAATGTCTACATGAGACTCGTTAGTGACGCTCAAATGTCTACACGAGACATGAGACTCATTCGTGACGCTCAAATCAAAACAGTTGGAAGACCTAATCAAGATTGATGTTGAAGTGCAATCAGAACCAAAATTTCAAAACTTTATTTGCCAAATGCGACTAACGAACACAACAATAGTTGCATGGGTTGAAGAGTATGGTAAATCTGTGTCACCGGTTACCTTGCAGATATTCAACTTATCGTATCCATAATCCTGTTCTTTTTTTCAGCCGTCGTTTGTGACTTTACATAATGGAACTTATCACCGGAGTTTGACTTGCTATCAGCAACGTGAAGGCAGCCACTAGCAGAACAAGAACTGCTTACGTTCCGAAGCACCAGTGTTTACACTCGTTTTTTGTGTAGTTCGTGTTGTTCCCTTTTCTGTGTGGTGTTATGTGGACTACCGGTCTTTCTGAATGAGGCGATTTCCAACTGATGTTTTGTTCTTATGTTGTGCTGTTACACCACTGTACCAGAATAGGAAGAGGGATGAGCGCTAACAAACATGTTTGATACATCCACATTCTTCATGTGCTTGTCCAAAGTCATTCTTTTTTCATCTCTTTTTGCCATGGGGTTTGTCTGCTTTTCTTCGACTTCCGGTTTTTATTGCTCATTTTATTTTTGCATGATATATTTTATATTTCAGCAACAAAATTTTCAAATTTCAAATACTAGGATGCATTACTATAGCATGCCACAACTCGCGTAACTTTAGATTGACATGCTCTTTACTTTCTAATTTAACATTTACACCCATTCATAAAGTTCAAAATAAGATTCGATAGATTTTTCTGAGGAAAGTACATATCAAATAGGCACTCATTTGAGCAATTTTAGGAAAAAAAAACAGATTTGTTTTACTATTATATATTTATCGAATAAAAAAATTTATCATTGGTGATTTTTTAACAGTTCATAAAAAATTGGAACAAATAATTTTCATAAATAATCAAACCAATATAAAAAAAGAGGAACCTATGTACTCGTTTTCAAGTTAACGATTAAAATCAGTCGTAAAAATGCATCTTTTCCCAATATGTCAGTTTGACGTCGCGAAAAATAACATTTTACGTTAGCGACGTCGACGTCATTGCCTCCCCTGTTACTGTATCGTAGACCCTTCGATCAGAAAGAAACCACGACAATTGACAACCAGTCTGATTAAAACCAGCCCCCACTATCCACTTGCGTTTGTAAACGCAAGTGGATAGTAGAGCTGGTTTTAATCAGACTGATTGACAACAGAAAACATACATTTGTAATAATAAAACCTATTGGAACCTGTTTCGTGAGTACTAAATAAGCCTAAGATGACAAATCCAAGTTTCTATAATTTTTTGCTATAATTATAATTCTGATATTAGTACGCCGACCTTTGCCTATTTTCATATTCATAATGGCGTCATTAAATTTTTGAAACGGAAACAGTTGAATAAAATAGGTTTCGGTAATTAATAAATCAATAAACAAATTGATAGGTCATTATACTGTTTTATTGAGTGGGACGACATAATGTATCATGAAAAATACGTTGTGTCGTAAAAGAAATCATCAGTCCTTGTTCATTCTTTAAAAATCTTTATTTTCGCTTGTTATTAGTTCCACCAAAAAGAAAGAGAATAGTTTTATAAATGTGACATTATGTAACTAAACACGTATTAGCATAGTAGTACCTAAAATTCTAAAAACAGCAAAACGAAAGACGGGCAAAAATAATTCCACAAAAGGGAAAAACAAATAATAAGCCATGTATAGATGATAGCTTGTATATGGGATCAATGACACATATATATGTTACAGTAAATGTGTATAATTAGGGATAATATATAATCCCTGAAACTTTTAGGAATTATGTGTAATCATTGGCCTGTTTAGTGACATAATCACTAAAATTTTCAGGAATTATGCATACTCTTTAGAAAAAATGTCAGGGATTATACATAATAACTAGAATGATGAGACAATGTAAGTTAAACTTATTCTATAAAATCATATTTAAACATCTTTATAAACATAAATATTAAAATGTTAAGCACAATACTCTAATACAAATCATTTATTTTCACAAACTACATTGTAAATTTTGGATGACATCTACTATTGCACAGTTTCCAATCAACCGTTTTCATGCTCTGCCTTTATTTTTTTTTTATGTTTTGCAACAACATCAACTTGTATATACTTAACATTTTACTTGCCAGTTGAAACTTTGAAACAAGAAAAGAAAGAACTAGATCAACTGATTTGACTTTAAGGCCTACATAAACAAACGTTTTTACGATTTAGACATAAGTCTTTGCAATGTTTACATGTGATACGTTTGCAATTTCCGAATGTCTGGTAATTTAGCTACTTCTGAATGGAGCAAAACTTAAACATACTAAAATAAGAGCTGTTCAAAGGTACATCAAATTAGTTTTAGATGTAAAAAATACTTAGAAGAAAAATATATATATTGTTTCAGAAAGTCTAGGAATTTTACCTCTTTTGGAAGGAACAATACTGACATATCGATATATAATTGCCGAATATATGATAATTAAGTAAACAATACTGATAGAGTTTTAGTTTCCGCATGCCTAGGAATTTAGTTACTCCTGCAAGGAATAATGCTTTTGTCTGGTAATTTATTAACACCTGAAGATTAAAATAGAGATACATATATATAGTTTCTGAATGTCTAGTAATTTATGTCTGGTCTTTTACCAACATTTGAAGATAACAATACCGATACACATGCTATAGTTTTAGGTCGGGACTGTCTATTACTACGATTTTCTATAAACATGTATAATCAA